CAATCAAATCCATCCCACTACTCATCTACCCTAACAATCGTCAAACAAAGTGAACACAAGTGTATATGGAATTCATGACTAGTGCTCACACACTCTTCACTCTTTTATGAGGCGGATATAAAATGTATCCGATCGCTCTCCATCCAACCCCTTTATTGTAAACAATGTCCTCCCAAACTCACAACACTCATGTGTTTAAAAAGACAAGCACTCAACCTAGTAGTCGACTCGATATATGTCAAATTATTCTTTGCATTTATAAACAACTAATTTCACAGCCATACAACTCTATGCACAAAGGTCGGAAGGTCTTTAAAGCTTGTAATGTAAGGTTAGGGTAAAAGGGTAGGAAATATTTGGGAAAATGTGAGAGTTAAGCTATGCTTAAGGGAGCCAAAATCCTAATAAACAAAACCAAGGTAAAAAAAAAAAATAATAACCATGAATCTCCAACACAACTTAACTCCACAAAAATTCACCAAACAACCAATCCAATATTTCTCAATTTTTCCACACTTACAATTTCACTCATAAAAATATAACAATGTAGAACTAGAGTGAATCAAACAAATTTTGAACTCTTCTTTTTTTTTCAACTTGATATTTTTCTTTGAAACTTTTTTTCTTTCTTTTGAGCAACCTTCAATTAAAACACTTGAACATTGAACAATTTTTTTCTTTTTGCTCTTTTTTTTTCTTCTTTTTTTCTCTTTTTGAAGTTCACTTTTTTTTTCCTTTTCTTTTTCTTTTCTTGAACTTCTTCTTTTTCATTATGCTTTATTTTGTAAGGAAAATTCAACTTTCAAACTCATCAAAAATAAACCACAATCAAGAACAAAACAACTTCTCAAAACCCACCCACATTGTGCAAAATATAACATTATAAACTCCCTCACCTCACTCACTAATAGCTCCCCCAAGCTAAGCTTGGGACTGGTAACCAATGGGGAAAAATTAGGCTTGTAATGTGGCTAAATAAACAATAAAAAGGTCAAGGCAACAACGTGGGTAGCAAGAAGCGAACAAATGTATCTAGATTATCTGAAAGCCACCTAAAAGAACAAATGCCTTCGTCCTCCTCAATGTGCATAATATGAGCCATACAAACATTACTCAAAGTTATAAACCAATACTCAACTTCATTGACATACCAGGAACTAACACACAATTCCTAACCAAATCAACAAGTCAAGCACCAAATCCACAAATAGTTGGACAAAGTTGACTCATATTAAGGCATCAAAGTAATCAAACATCAAATCATGTCTAACCTATCCACAATACTCATCATCATATACCAATAATCAAAACAATTTACATGTATGGGGCACAGGGAAGCATGATTTATCATTCATTGGAACGTATTTTTGGATTTTTTTATTTTTCATTTTTTTCAAAGCAATAAAATCTACACTAAAAAGCAATAAAATCTATACTAAACACACCAAAAATCAAAAAAGAGAGAAGAAATAAGATACCAATACCAAAAATCTCCCCCAAGCCAAAATCAAACAATGTACTCATTGGCATGGGAACTAGCCGCAACATGGCTAATCATCACCATCCTCATCCATCATCCCAAATCCTCCACCACAACCACCTGCACCAGAAGAACTCCCACCAAAGTAGTTAGGGTTAACATTACCCCCTATCCCCCAAAAGGAAAGTCTTGGCCGTAGCCAGAGAATGAGGAGTAGTCTTTGTAAATACCGCAAGAGTCGGGACCCACATATCCCTAGGGTGGTGGCTGGAACCAGTCAGGGTAAAGGGTCTCATCAGGGATAGCACCACGCAAGCATAGTCGTCTGATAACTTGCTATTTGATACGATTTTAGGGTGTTTTGAACCTAGTTTACTTGATATAAATTGCGTTTTGGTTCATTTTTACTCTATTATTATGCAATTCTTGTGTATCCTATGCTTCACGGGTTGTTGGTGTTTTTGTTGAGATTCTAGGTTCAAAAGAACGACCAAATGGAGCCCATGGATACAAAGCCGAGGTTAGAAGCAAGGAGATGGATGAAAGAAGCCAAGGAAAGGTGCATTATAGAAGAAAAGATGAAAAAAAGGGGTTTAGAAGACCCTGCACGGCTGTGCCAGACCTTGCACGTCCGTGCAGGAGATTCCAGAAAGCTTCAGCAAGCTGCCAAGGCCTGCATGGACGTGCCAAATTAAGCACGTCCGTGCAATTGTAGCTGCACGTCCGTGCCAGTATCTGCACGTCCGTGCGGAACTGCTCGATTCTTAGCAGTACGTTCTGCCTCCATTCTGCCCCCTCTGCACGTCCGTGCCAAACTTGGCACGGCCGTGCTTAGCCTTGCACGTCCGTGCCAAATCTGGCACGTCCGTGCAGACCTGCAGTCGAACTCCTTCCTTGTTTTCTCCGTCCTTTTTATTTGGGGGTCATATAAATACCCCTTTAGAGCTCATTTGTATGGGGGGAGGCATTTTTTCAGAGCTTTTCTCTTAGTTTGTAGTCTTAGAACATTAAATTCTCAAATCAGTAGTTAGTTCTCAATTATTAGCTTGGAATTATTCAAATTCAATCATTGTAGAAGACAAAATCCACCATTGTTGCTCACCTTGAAGCTTCATAGTAACCATTTCTTACTCATCTTTTCTACTTCTCTTTACTTTGTTGTTAATTATTTGCTAGTTCTTGCATGTTTTGGATTGTTAATTAGCTTAATCCTTAGTTTGAATTTGTTCATGAATTGCTTGAAATCTTTAATTGCTTTAACCCCCATGGATTGTGAGTAGTCTAAATTCTAGGGTTTGGGCAAAACCCTCAATGTAGTCACTAATTACTTGTTGCATGTGCTAATTTGGTTGTTGTGGAATGTTAATTAGTTGAGCTTAAGTGGTTTAATTGCTTAGTTCTTGTATATGGCCATTGCTAGAACTATTTATCCAAGCTTTCTCAACGAAGGATCGAGAGATGAACTTGAGTTAGCTCCCTTATGCTTGATTGACCCGAAATTCCATGAGAATAGGGATTACCGGTCAAGGGAATGTTTATGTCATCGTGATTATGCTTTAACACTTGTTTTATGCTATGTAACCACGAGAGTAGGTCGTATTCATGATTCAAGTAATCCCTCTAGCTTTAGAGAGTAGTTGGGTGCTTTAGATGACTTCCCCTAATTTATCCCATTAATTTACCTTGATTGTTGCATGCTAATTGTGATTTGTGATGAAGTTGAGTGGTATAACCCAAGCCCTAGATTCCTCTTAATATTGTTAACCTCCTCTTAGCTTAGTTGAATTGTGTTAGAAGAAGTTACTAAAAACCAACCCAATTTAGAATTCGTTTAGCTTATTTAAACGGTAGTACTCGGTGGTTGATTCAACGCCTCTCTTGGGTTCGACCCTTTCTTACCCTTACTATTGTTAGTGAGACCAAGATAGGAATTATTATCCTTGGTAGGCTCGACGACGGCCTATCAAGTTTTGGCGCCGTTGCCGGGGAGGCAAAGTCACATTGAATGTATTATTGTTGAATGAGACTAGATGTGTGTATATGTATAGTAGTTTTCTTACCTTAATTTTTGTTTATGTGTGTTTAAATTGCGATAGTCATTGCTAACGTTTTTCTTAGCTTTGTTTGACTTTGCATGACACGAAAGAGTAAGCAATCACCGCTTATTCCCGTTGATCCAGAGCTTAATAGGACTTTGAGAAACGTGAGGAGACTCTTGCAAGGCACACCCGAGTTTTCCATTGTATATTCGGATTCCGATCCGGAAGAGGTTTTTGGAACTAACGAAGAAGATAACATGGGAGAGAATCCTCCTCAACCATTGTTAAGAGACTATGACCACCCCAACGCATTCCAACTTCGGAGTGGCATACGTCTTCCCACCACAAATGCAAACAACTTTGAACTTTCACCTCAACTCATCTGTATGATTCAAAGCGATCAATTCGGAGGTAGTCCTCATGAGTGTCCTTTTGCTCATTTGGACAACTTTCTTGAGTTGTGTACAACTATCAAGCAAAACAACATTTCGGAAGAGTTCATCCGTATGCACATGTTTCAATTCTCCCTCCGTGATAAAGCAAAACATTGGTTGAGAACGGTTGAAGAGGGATCATTGAGTACATGGGACGAAGTCACTAGAGCCTTTCTTGGAAAGTATTGTCCTCCGGAAAAGACCGCCGAACTAAGAAGAAAGATCACCAATTTCAATCAAGACATTGATGAAACATTGAGTGAAGCTTGGGAGCGTTTCAAAGATTACACAAGGAAATTCCCCCACCATGGTTTTACATCATGGATCATTGTACAAAGCTTCTATGACGGTCTTACTCCTATTTCAAGGGCCAACCTTGATTCCGGGGCCGGTGGTAGCCTCAAAAAGCTATCGGTGGACGATGCATACAAGATGATTGAAGAAGTGGCCAAGCATTATGCATATGGAGGTGATAGAAGGCAACCTCAAACAAAGAAGGGCGGAATTCATGATCTTAGTGCAATAGATCTTATTGCATCAAAGTTTGATATGCTAGCTCACAAGCTAGATCAAGCCACCCTCACACCCTCAAGCTCTTCCTCGCAAGTCATGTCTTGTGAGACTTGTGGAGGAAATGATCACTTGTCCTCTTATTGCAACTCAACGAATCAAGAGCAAGCGGCGGCAATTGGGCAAAGGAATGAACAATACTCCCAATCCCACAATCAAAGTTGGAAGCCCCAACATAACACGGGATAGAAGCAATACAACCAAGGCCCCCCACAAAATAACTACAACCAAAATCAAACCCAACCTCAAAACCACTACAACCAACCTCAATCACAAAACCAACAAGCTCCATACCGCCATCCCAACCAAAGGGATCAAAACCACCAAAGATCACAATATAACCAACCCGCTCCTCCTCCTCCACCTCCTCAAAAGACTAGCCTTGAGTCCGTTCTTGAAACTTTCATGACTCAACAAATAAGGAACAATGCGGAGATGAATGCAAACATCCAACAACTCCAAGCACATAATAAGATAATGGAGGGCCAATTGGCTCAAATTGCACAACAAGTTGGAAGTTCATCCTCTAACCCCGGTGGTCAATTTCCAAGCACAACGGTAATGAATCCAAAAGAGCAAGCGAAATCAATCACCTTGATTATGGAAGGGGGGTATGAAACTCCAATTATGAGAGAAAATGTTGCCAAAAAGGGAGATGAGGGAGATAGTTGGGTAGATGAAAGTGAGTTTGAAAATGAAGTGAGTGAGGAGGCGAGAGGAAGGTCAAAAATGAGTGATGAGGGTGCCTCAAAGAGAGATGAGGGAGAAGTGAAGAGTCAAGCTCCATTGAGAGCATATGAGCCTCATATTCCATTCCCTCATAGAATGATAGAGAAGAAGCTAAATGAGAAACTTTCTAAGTTCCTTGATGAAATGGAAGGACTTCAATCAAACATTCCACTTCTCCATGCTTTGTCTCAAATGCCTACATATGCAAAGTTTTTGAAAAATATTCTTTCTAACAAGAGTAGGCTTGAGGAGAGTGATTCTATCTCTCTTCCAACGGAGATAAGTGCTATTCCTCAAAATGAGCTTCCCGAGAAGTTTGGTGACCCCGGTAGTTTTGCTATACCGGTTAAGGTTGGAGATCTTGAATCAACAAATGCTTTGTGTGATCTTGGGGCTAGTGTTAGCCTTATGCCTCTCTCTATGGCAAAAAGATTAAATCTTGGGGAGATTAGCCCCACCAAAATGTCAATCCAACTAGCCGACCGCTCGGTTAAAGTCCCATTGGGAGTCTTGAAGGACATCCCAATTCAAGTGGGGAAGGTTCTTGTGCCTTGTGATTTTGTAATCATGGAGATGGATGAGGATTTCAAAATTCCTCTCATATTGGGTAGGCCCTTTTTGAAAACCGCGGGTGTTAATATTGACATGAAAAAAGGGCGGCTTACCTTAAATGTTGGGCATGAAAGAATCTCTTTCTCATTTCCGGAAACGTTGAATGACCCCATGGTTAAACAAGTTCATCGGGTTGATGTTTTGGTTAATATTTTGAAAGAAGACATGGAGGAGTCACAAGATGAATCGACTCATGCTCCGGAGGTGAAAAAGCAAGAGAGGGCCAAGAAGAAAAAGAAAAACAAGATCAAGTTGATAGACAAGATGTTTGGTTGCATTTCTAGTGATGATAGCAATGTGATTATTTTGCCTAAGGAAAATGGCAAGTGTGTGGGAACAATGAGATGGGTCAAAAAGGTGTGCCTTGATCCTCCCTAATTTTGGATAGCGCAATTTCGTCAAGCTAGTGACGTTAAAGAAGCGCTTCCGGGAGGCAACCCGAATATTTTTGTAGTGGATTAACTTAAAAAAAAAAAAAAAAAAAAAAAAAAAAAGAAAAAAACAAAAGAAGAAAAAAAAAACAGCACAAAGTGCATGTCTTCCAACAACAACCAACAGGAACAAAGGTACCAAGGAGGTTCAAGCGTCGAAGAAGACCCGATCCTTGAGTTAGTCTTCTTTCTCCTTTTTTTATGAGCTTTTATTTCTTAACATTGAGGACAATGTTTATGATAACTTGGGGGGAGTCATTTGCATGCCTTCTTGACATGTTGGTTTGTTTGGTTGCGTTTGTTTTGGTTGTTTCATTTCCCTAATATCCAAGACCCTTAATCCAATTTAGCTTCCTTGAAATCCAAACCTCTTGTCATGTGAATATTAGTGTTCCCTCTCTAGTTAGTAATGTGAATATTTTCGCTTTCTCTTCAAAAAAAAAAATGATGAAAAAATTGAAAAATGAAAAAAAAATAAAATTGCCCAAGGTTGAGACTCAAATGACAATGCTTATATGTTTTTCTTGCTTGACTCTTGAGCGATGAGTACTAGTTCTTTTAGAAGGGTGCATGCAAGAGTTGGGGTCATTTAGAGGTCTATTAGTCCTGGTTGCATTAGTGTATATGAAATGAAAGTCGATGAATGCTCAATTGCACATCTAGCATAGGATATTGTTAAATTTGCCCAAAGTAGGATATGTTTGAGTCAAATTGCGGTCCCTTGTGCCCTTAATGTGCCTCACTTCCTCCCCGAAATGAAACTCTATTAGGGAATTGGTTATACTTGTATTATGTGTAATAAGTGGCATAATAAGCCACACGTTTCGAATAAAGAAAGAGCCGCTCACAGTTAAAAGAGGCGAGGGCAATAATGTAAAAAAAAATGAGAGAAAAAAAATAAAATAAAAAAAATAAATAGAAAAGAAGGGAGAACAAAAAAAAAAACTCCCCCAAAAATTCTCAAAATTTTGATTTTCTTTTCTTTAGAGGTCAACTTGTGGATGCCTCCCACACATTGTCGAATTTGTTGCTTATTGTTTCTTGTGAAATTCCCGAGTTAGAGTGTAATTAAGGGGCCTTGGGTGTGCATTTTGGGAGGTGGACTAGCATTTTGAGATTTTATAACCGAAAGAGGGCTCATTACAACTTTGGAATATCTAGGTGTGCTCTAATGAACTAGTAAAAGGCCAAAGGAAGTATCCTAGTGCAACCTTCTTTAGTTTTCCTCTCTACCCCCAACTCATGTGTACATTTGTATGATCGGTAATTCTTGAAAGTCGCTCATTTGTCTTGCTTGCTATTTATATCTCGATGAGTTGACTTGGGTGATAATAACATCAGAACTTGTGTAGTTTGATAGTTTTGTTGTGGTTTGTGTGAGTTGTGGGTTAAGCTCAATGGAAACCCTCACGAGATAAAAACTCGTCCTCTAAGGCGACTTAGAGGTTTAAATTGCTTCTCACTTGTGCTAAAAGTGATGATGGTTGTCACCATGCGAATTTGTTTATGTATGCTTCCCCCTTGTTGCCTCTCCTTGGATTGATGATTAGCAATTTGTTTTCCTCCTTTGGTTTGACATTTTTGTTTTGCTCGAGGACGAGCAAAAGCTTAGCTTGGGGGGATTTGATAACTTGCTATTTGATACGATTTTAGGGTGTTTTGAACCTAGTTTACTTGATATAAATTGCGTTTTGGTTCATTTTTACTCTATTATTATGCAATTCTTGTGTATCCTATGCTTCACGGGTTGTTGGTGTTTTTGTTGAGATTCTAGGTTCAAAAGAACGACCAAATGGAGCCCATGGATACAAAGCCGAGGTTAGAAGCAAGGAGATGGATGAAAGAAGCCAAGGAAAGGTGCATTATAGAAGAAAAGATGAAAAAAAGGGGTTTAGAAGACCCTGCACGGCTGTGCCAGACCTTGCACGTCCGTGCAGGAGATTCCAGAAAGCTTCAGCAAGCTGCCAAGGCCTGCATGGACGTGCCAAATTAAGCACGTCCGTGCAATTGTAGCTGCACGTCCGTGCCAGTATCTGCACGTCCGTGCGGAACTGCTCGATTCTTAGCAGTACGTTCTGCCTCCATTCTGCCCCCTCTGCACGTCCGTGCCAAACTTGGCACGACCGTGCTTAGCCTTGCACGTCCGTGCCAAATCTGGCACGTCCGTGCAGACCTGCAGTCGAACTCCTTCCTTGTTTTCTCCGTCCTTTTTATTTGGGGGTCATATAAATACCCCTTTAGAGCTCATTTGTACGGGGGGAGGCATTTTTTAAGAGCTTTTCTCTTAGTTTGTAGTCTTAGAACATTAAATTCTCAAATCATTAGTTAGTTCTCAATTATTAGCTTGGAATTATTCAAATTCAATCATTGTAGAAGACAAAATCCACCATTGTTGCTCACCTTGAAGCTTCATAGTAACCATTTCTTACTCATCTTTTCTACTTCTCTTTACTTTGTTGTTAATTATTTGCTAGTTCTTGCATGTTTTGGATTGTTAATTAGCTTAATCCTTAGTTTGAATTTGTTCATGAATTGCTTGAAATCTTTAATTGCTTTAACCCCCATGGATTGTGAGTAGTCTAAATTCTAGGGTTTGGGCAAAACCCTCAATGTAGTCACTAATTACTTGTTGCATGTGCTAATTTGGTTGTTGTGGGATGTTAATTAGTTGAGCTTAAGTGGTTTAATTGCTTAGTTCTTGTATATGGCCATTGCTAGAACTATTTATCCAAGCTTTCTCAACGAAGGATCGAGAGATGAACTTGAGTTAGCTCCCTTATGCTTGATTGACCCGAAATGCCATGAGAATAGGGATTACCGGTCAAGGGAATGTTTATGTCATCGTGATTATGCTTTAACACTTGTTTTATGCTATGTAACCACGAGAGTAGGTCGTATTCATGATTCAAGTAATCCCTCTAGCTTGAGAGAGTAGTTGGGTGCTTTAGATGACTTCCCCTAATTTATCCCATTAATTTACCTTGATTGTTGCATGCTAATTGTGATTTGTGATGAAGTTGAGTGGTATAACCCAAGCCCTAGATTCCTCTTAATATTGTTAACCTCCTCTTAGCTTAGTTGAATTGTGTTAGAAGAAGTTACTAAAAACCAACCCAATTTAGAATTCGTTTAGCTTATTTAAACGGTAGTACTCGGTGGTTGATTCAACGCCTCTCTTGGGTTCGACCCTTTCTTACCCTTACTATTGTTAGTGAGACCAAGATAGGAATTATTATCTTTGGTAGGCTCGACGACGGCCTATCATCGTCTTACATCGGAAATAGTCCCCTATCCGTGTTCCTCTCCACATAACCCACCCTCTGGTCAAGGGAGCCAACTAACCTCCTAATGTCTCCCACCAGTGTCTTAAGCTCTCCTTAGGTCTCCTCTATCCTACCCATAGCCTGACCTATACTCTGTAGGTCCCAAATAGTCTCGAGGTCCGGCCTGGGTTGGTGAAGGGGTGGCTGAGGCACATGTGGCTGTGGCACATGCACTTGCGGCTGGGCATGTGCAAGCAGATGGTCATAGGTGTAGGATTGCTGCCCAGCAAGGAAGGCGGTCAAGTCTGAGTTAGGGAGAGGAAAAACAGGCACATAATCCTTCCCTACCTTTACTTGCCACTGTAGGACCTGGCGGTGGTTAGGCTTAACCCAATTCAAGTGTTGGTAGTAAGGCAAGTTCTGAAAAGTGCCCCCCCCCCCACAGTTGTTCAACCCCCAGTAGCTAGTCTCACTAAACCCCGCCTTTTTAATCACTATCCTAGTAATTAGACCACCAAAGTGAATAAGGGTTTTGACATTGGTATCGCAAGTGTTGGCATGCCTACATAATTGGCTAATAATAAATTTAGCAATGTTTAATTTACCATAACCAAACATGTAGTGCCCTAGGATAGCTAGCTCCAAGGATTACGCGTTATGAGGCTCGTGGCGGGCCAAAAAGCAAGTCCCGGAAAATCTTTGAAAGATTTTTTGGGACGGGGTGGTGAAAAGGAAGTGAACTACAATGCTGAATATTAGGGCAAGGTTTTCCCGTCAAAGCTAAATATACATTGTCATCTTTATAGTCCTCATGCATTTGGGTGGGGGGATGGGGATCAAGCTCAAACAATCTTGCAAATTCGACATATGTTAATTCAACATTTCTATTATTTAAACTAAAATGCAAGTTGGGACCATTCCTAGATTGATCAACATGTAAAGAAGATAGGAATTCACAAGTTAATTCTCTATACGTAGGATAATACATGTCAACAAATTTCCGCATTCCAATATCATTCATAAATCTCCTAATATGATTGTAGACACCTAAAGCAATTAGAGTGTCTCGGTGTAACCACCGAGAAGAATGTACCTCCCGGTCGTAGAGGTTTATGAGTCGGCTCCTTTGTTGCGGTGTCGTGATCTGGATTGTCGGCCACACATCTAGTTGTAGAGCCTCATCAATTGGTGCCCTTGAGCCTGAACCACGTCCACCTCCTTGTGTACTTGCCCTTTTGCTTGTCATGTTTGTGGGTCTACAAAAGTTTTATTTTAAAATCAAACAATATTAGTGTAAATATAAAGGGGATGAAAAGAGGAGGAAGAATATATAAGAATCTTTGAATTTGGATAAGAAATTGAGGAGAGATCTTAGAGAGAAGGTAGTGAAATTTAAGGTTTTAGAGAGAGAAACAATGCTGGAAAGAGAAAATAAGGAAGAAAGAAAGAAGAAGGAAAGAAAAAGGAGAAGAGAAAGCACGGGTAGAAAAGGGCGCGCCCGATTGGCCGGCCTGTCGCCCGGTCGGGCGATCTGGAACGATGCAATCAGTGTGGCTCGCTCCTGGTCGGGAAGATTCTCACCTAGTCGAGCAATTTCATTCATCGTTAATATTGATCCTCGCGCCCGGTAAGGCGAAATTTCACGTCCAAAAACTTCTTCTTCGCGCGCCCGGTTGGGCGATTT